AAGCCACTAAGATTACAGGCATGCACCACAGCGCCCAGCAATCAATAAGTTTTTGAATTGAATTTAATGAATAAATTATATATAAGTTTTACAGAAAAGTGTGGTGTAGAGGAGCCCATGTATAGGGTCAGACTACAGATTGTTTGCAGCATTAGAAAAGATAATCATGGCAAACTGCACTGAGAAAGCTTTGAACAAATTTCAGTGAGGAAAATCATATGTATAACTAAAGAGTTCTCGAAGGGCTGGTGCACAATTTTAAGGCAAGAAACATGGCAGAGTGTCTGGAGTAGAGAAGTCCATGGAGGAGAAAAGAGAGAAGTTTGCAGAGCTATGGTGGAGGGAGTGCAGCAGCATCACATGGGGTCCTCAGGACATTGTAAGAATTTTGTTCTTGACTTTGAGAGAATTGGAGAGCTGCTCAGAAGAACCAGACACCTATCTCAAACTTGCTTAGAAAGGAAATTTATTGGTTCATAAAGCTGAGTCAGAATAAGGCTGCTGAAATCTCCAAGTTCACATACTTTCTGTAACTTGTGAGTTTTTCTGTGTCATCAACCAAATTTTAGGGAAGGTGGTCCAGTCTGGGTTACTTGATCTCTCTAAACCAATCACTGTTGTCAGGGAAATAAAGTCCTGTGATTGTCTAGAGTGGGTCACATATCTGTCTTTTCTGGCCAAAAAGTAAGACTGGAAAGTCAGTTCTGGAAAATTCATAAAAGGAATTTTATACTAGGCTGAAAAACTGCATTACCAGAAAAAGCAGGAATGAATGCTCAGCAGGCAAAAACAATAAATGTCAACTACAAAAGGAATGAAAGCCTGCACAAAGGGAGAAATTTGATTACATGGAAATATGAAAAGAAGTTTGTGTGTCAGAAAATATCACAATCCAAACTATGAATCAAAACACAAGTAGAAATTTATATGCAGGAAACATGACAAAAAGATAATACTCAAATATATAGGGTTGGGGCTGGGGGTGTGGCTCAAGCAGTAGCGTGCTCGCCTGGCATGCGTGAAGCCCGGGTTCAATCCTCAGCACCACATACAAACAAAGATGTTGTGTCTGCCAAAAACTAAAAAATAAATATTAAAAAAATTCTCTCTCTCTCTTTCTCTCTTTAAATAAATAAATAAATAAATAAATAAATAAATAAATAAATAAATAAATAAACAGGGTTTATAAATATCAATAGAAAACAAAAATTCCAATTGACAAATGGCCAAAGAACATAAAGATATTAATTCCCCAATGGGAAAATACAAATAGCTGATAGAAATCTGTCCACCCTCATAGTAAATGAAGAAGTGATAGTTAACATAATAGTGGTAAGCCATTGCTCATGATGGCATGTCTTAGTGTCCACATTTATAGTACCCTGAAGGACAATGAGAGTTCTATAAAATGGAAATTCTCACTATATAATTACTAACAATATGACTTTAGAAAAGAATTTGGTGATAGGCATCAAGTATTTATGAACCCTGAAAATTTTCTAAAATATCCTCTGATGCAAACAAAAACTTGTGCCTAAACTATTCCTTTGGGGGCTGGGGCTGGGGCTCAAGTGGTAGCGAGCTCGCCTGGCATTCGGGGTTCAATCCTCAGCACCACATACAAACAAAGATGTTGTGTCTGCCGAAAACTAAAAAATAAATAAAATATTAAAATAAATAAATAAATAAACTATTCCTTTGTAGTTGCATTCAAACTAGAGAAAACCTTCAGGTGAGTGGTAATGTAAGTTACAGCCATATGATGAGCTGTTTTAAATGACTCAAACACTGCATTGACAATACTTATAATCAATTGAAAAGCAATGTGTAAATAAAACACATTACGATTCAGTTATGAAAAAATATAAAATGAAAATAAATCCAATATATTACCAGTGTTATCAAGTATTATTACAGGTTACACACAGATAGTCATTCTTGTTATTGCTTCTCATTTCTGCTATAAATCTGTTTACTTTGGTTTTCTGCTTTGTGTTATATTAATTTAGGTAAATTTTATTTTTTAAAAATCTCCAATTTAATTTGTAGTTGGTTAAGTAGTTATGCATAAAATTTAATCTTTTTGTATTTAAACTTTCTGTTGATATCCTCTTAAAATTATTCATGACAGTTGTTAGGATTTGTCTATCTGGAGGGAATTAAAAAAAAAACAAAGCATTTAACATTTTACTGCTTTTAAAAATTTGTTTTATATAAGTCCTCATTTTCTTTGTACTTTTCTTTATAGAAACCTTAATGTGAATGTTTTAAAAAAATTCTTTAAAAGTTTTTGATGTAAAAAATGATCTAATATAGAAGTAGAGAAATTTATAACAATTTTTCTGTAAGCATACTTTTGGCTTATCCCACATGTTCTCAATTCTTTTTTTTTTTCCTAAATAGTCTATTTTCTTCTCAATATCCTCCTTGACAAAGCACTTAGAAAATTACTATTAAACTATAATAACTATTGTTTTGATATCTATTTTTTAATTTCTAGTTTCATTGCATAGTGATTAGAAAATAAGACTTTAGGATTTTTGAGCTGCTAGAATTTAAGTGGCAAAAAATAGTCTTAGTGGAGTTTAAGCTTTGAATCTGACATAATCTTTATCCCAAAGTGAACATTTTACACTGAAAGATGCCTTTACAATCTCCTCTAATTAGTTCTTGGGGGGAAATTTACATTATTTTGTACATTTGAGTTGTGACATATAAATTTTTATCCCTGCTTTATAAACAATCACAAGTTATTAGAAGTGTTCTTTGAAGTACCAAAGATGGGGTTAGGTAGGTAAACATGATTTGGGAAAAAGGACCTACTTTGAAATAGGGTAGCTACAAAAGCTACCTCTAGGAAGTGATATTATGACTCAAGATTTCAAGGATTTTCAAGTTCAGGGGCTTGAGGCTAGAAAAAATTTGGTTTATTCTAGGAATAGACAGAATGTCAATATACTGGCAGCGTGATAAGCCAAATCAAGAGTCCCATAAGATGAGGTTGAGAGACAGATCATATAGATTCTTGGACTTTTTACTTAAATGTTTTGATTGCATGTGTATCAGTACAGATTGTTATACAGAGTAACAAATGACTCCTAAATCTCAAAGCTAGGTTTATTTCTCACTCATATCACCTTACTAATGACGGTTGCCTGAATCTCAACTATATGTTCACTCCAGGTTCTGTGCTGATGGGGAAGGCTGTCTTGCTGTCAGAAAAAGAGTGAGACTTCAAGCTTCTGCCTGAAGTGACTCATGCCATTTTGGCTCACATATCATAGTACAAAACAAGTCCTATGGCCACCTTCAATTTTAGTAGGAGGAGGATGTGTTCTTTTCTTCCAGGGAAGACAAATTACAATTGGTATAATTATCTCCTTGTATCTATATCCTTCCATGCATGTTAACTGAGAGAGCTTTTAACAAATAAGCATACACCAAGTGTCAATATTTTACATACACGTTTCAAAAATTCTAATCCCTAATTTTCTAATTTATAGTAAAAACAACTTTATCTTCATGGGTCTTTAATTTGGGAGCAAAGTTTAAGTCAACTTCAGTAGAGCAGGATTTTATATTTACTACCTAATTGTAAGGACTATTTATTTATCCCTTGATAAAGAGTTTTGAGCTGGAGAAAGAGCCATTTGCCTCTAGTACAAAATAGCTGAACCTAATGCTAATAATTTATCAAGTGCTCTTGTAAATAATTTTACAAGTTTAAAGTCTAATATTCTGGCAATTTATTCATGTTTATATTTGTGAGTTCAGGTATGTATTCATGTGTCCATTTTCCAAACTAAGAAATGGAGGTACCTTTTTTCTTAAAGCCCCACAACTGGGCCAGAATCTCAACATGAACTTAAAAAGGTATCATTATCCTTTGAACCCCGAGAACCCACATTGAAGTTAAGCAGTGTTTAGTGGCACCTTTGGTCAGTGTAAGGGAAAAGTGAAGAAGCTAAGAGAGAAACCTAAGAGTGAAAACAACATGAAGAATTGGACGTAGGTGAAAAACTGTCTAGCAGGGAATCATGTCAAATGATCTTTGTGGTCACCCTGAAACATTGTGTTGGGATTGCTCATTGCAGCATGAGACTGTCCTGCCTATATTTTCCCCCCCTAATCAAACTTTGTTTACCTCTAGAAAAATGCTCCTCTGGTACAGTTTAGATGACGTGTTCTTAAACAATCTCATCTCTGGCTTTGATAAAAGGGATGATTTGATTGCCTTCTAGAACAATACCACTGGTAGCACATATTCTTTCTATAGGGAGTAAAATAAATTTTATGGAATGAATACATATTTGTTTTCAAAAGAACATTTTTTGGTAGTGATTTTTGATGGCCCATCACCATGCTTTAACAAACAATTGTATAATTCTATCATTTCTATCACCATTCTGTCAATAGTAGACTGAGGAAGATTATGGACCACGTCACACTGACCAGGCTCATAGAAAGTGCTGGAGAATTCCAGTAATCCGTGATGGACCAATGCGCATGGAACTATTGGCTTTATTTTAACTTATGTCTGCATCTCAGAAGCTGTTTCTAAAGTCATGAATTAGCTAGTATTTATACAAAATTTTGACATTGGGATTTGTATCTTTACAAAACTACTCTGTAATTTAAAGTTTGAAAAGCACGACCAAAACACTGATCTGTCTTAGGGGATAATATTGACTTACATAGGCTTTATTTTTTTTTTTTCCTTTTGCACTGGGAATTGAACCCAGGGTTTGGGCCCTTCAGCATTGAGTTATATCCCCAGCCCTTTTTAAAATTTTGAGACAGGTTCTCACTAAGTTGCTTAGGCTGGCCTTGAACTTGTCATCCTTCTGCCTCAGTCTCATAAATTGCTAGGATTACAGGCATGTGCCATCATGCCTGGCCTATAGGAGTAATTTTAAATACACATAACCAAGTAGTAACAAGTGAGCATTTCAAGTTATTAATTGCCTGTAACTAAAGAATAAATTTCATGAAACAGATAATTCCACATTATCCTCTCAAACGAATTTTATTTGCACTCTGCTCTAACAAATATAGTATGAAGGCAACAGTTGTTTAAGTGTCTTAGTGTATGGCACAGATGAAAAGAAACAAACGGATTGAGAAGCAGTCCAGCATTTCAAGGCTGGTTTAACAAAAGAGGCACGTATTATCCTATTGAGCAGTTTATACCAGAAGATTTTTTTTCCTTGCAAGCAACAGACTACATTTATTTGCATTAAGTAAAAACATATCTTGATCAAGAAAATTACTTTTTTTTCTGATTTTCCTTTATATCACAAATGTCAGGATAAGGCAAATCCTTAATGAGTCATATGATAAAAACCCTATTCCCCAAGAAAATATATTGAATGTATTCTGCTAACTTTGTTATTTTTCAAAGCACAGCCGACATGCGCCACATACAGAGAAATGTCTTTTCAAATCAAATGCATCAAGCAGAACTGTATTAATTCACAAAGAGGCTTTTCAGTGTTTCATAGAAAGATTTACAATTAGCTGTGGTGATTAATATGTGACCCAGTATCACAGACCGTGTTTCGGATGTCTTCTTTGTAAGCTTTTATGAAAGAGGACTTGTCCATCATCTGAATAGTTACCAGCTAGAGGAAAAGCCCCTTTGTCTCTCCTCCAGTGAGTACCTTTTTAATTAGGAGCATTATGTTGAAGTCCTACTTCGATCCTCTGTATGCAAACATGACTAATATAGGGCTATTTTCCTCCCTCCCTCCTGTAACCCTTCATACCACATAGCCTGGTTGAAGTGTGGTTGAAAATTGACATCCAGAATTCATGTGCAGGAAAATTAATCAGCTTTTCAAATTTGTTCCCTTGTACAACCTGTGCAATGACAAAGCCAGCAAATACAGGTTTCCTGTGTTGAGGTGTCTTCCATCTGACCAATAGCTAGATTTTTCTTAACAGTTCACTATTGAAATGAAAATTAACTACATTATTTGTTTCAAAGCATATAATCATATAGCCAAATAGCAACCATAAAGCATAACAAAGCTAAAAGGAAAGCTTAATCTAATCATAAAAAGAAGTTTAAACAAATTCAGCAATGGGGCTGATGATAAATATCATTCTCTTAGCTTCCTGGATACAAAGGTTACCTCCAGTTTGCACACAGAGCACTCCCTCCTCCCTTTCCTAACCCACCCACATTTAAAATAAATGAATGAAATAGCTGTGGATGATAAGGGGAATGCCCAGACTGGAATAACTCCAATCCTGGCTGTTCCTCTCAGGAATATTAGGTCTTTTTCATCTTTCTGTTGCTCTTGCCTCCTTTGAGTTGTCTTCAATTGTAACTCATGGATGGAGGCTGAGTAGCATTAACTTTTGAAGTCACTAGAAAACAAGTTCCTAGTAGATTGTACTGGTCAAGCACTTGATGAGAATGACTAACAATGTTCAACTGAGTCACAAAGATGGCATGAAATACAGAAATATCAATATCTGGATGGCATTGTTTCTCAGATTATCTAAAACAAGCCTTTTCCTTTTCTAGAAAGCAATGTCTAATGGGTAAAAAGGACATATGTGCTTCTATATCAAACTACAGAATAACAGCTGAAGGAGAAATGATCATGTTTCCTCATCATGAAGTCACTTAAATATCATTGCTATGTCAATAAACAGCTTTTTTAAAAAAATAAGTGTTGTTAAAACCTATGACATATGCAGAATTATAATTTGCTAATTATTCCAGTATATCAAATAAACCACTTGGAAGGGGCAATAAATTCAGAAAGAAAAGTCATGGAAGATGATTATTTTCCTAGGAAAGGACAAGACTGAAGGATTGGATGGGATATTTAGAATGCAGATATACTTTCATTTTAGAAGTAATTCAATTCTTTTTCTCCCTCTCAAGAAAAATGCCTTATAATCCTAACGCTCTATTTAGAAGACAGAAGAAGATATGTAAGAAATGAAATCGGTTTCCACAGAAAACAAAGGAATGGCCTTAGGACCAGGGAGGCTGTGGGAAGCAGGCATCTGCCTTAGGCTGGCTCTGCGATGGATACTTGTGATGATGATGCCCGGCCTCCTCTGGCCCTCATTCCTTGTGCCTACTGCCCACTGGCACCTTAAGTTGTTAGTACTGCTGCTCCCCTTTAGGGCCATACTCCATAAAGGGACCAGCCATCCAATCAGGCTTGGACTTTGCATAAGCAAACCACAGCATTTAAATGCAGACCAGAGAGCCAGCACAGCAAGGAAAAGCTCTGACTGCTTCTAACCTCTAATGAGAATCGTTTTTTGAGGGGGCATCAAACCTTGAGTAAATACGTAATCATCCTTTATGAAAAACGTTTGTGTCGAGAGATTTCAAATGGAGCTTTTTAAACTAATAGGCATTAATAACAAGCATACATTAGAGTCCTAAGTGCATTGGCCACTCACTTTGCTTTTCACAACACCACCTAGCTAAGTGCATCCTTTAAAGTTGTGTAGCAAAGAGTTACATCTCATTGGTGGGCTCCATGCTGAAGCACATGGTAAAGGCTCAGGACCCAGGTAAGCTCTGCTGGAGGTCAGTATTAAAGATGAGGAGTGCCTGTGTGCTCCGAAGTACTATGAAGGAAGAAACCCTGATGGTTGCCTGCAACTACCTTCCTTGTTTATGTGTATGTGCTCTGCCCTGGGTTGAATCCTACTTTCACCATTCTCATTAACTACACAGAACAAACTGTACCTTGGGAATCCCTTAACAAATATTTTCAACTCATGGCCCAGACCTTTTCCAAGTGAATTCTGAGGGTTTTGCTCATTTCCTAGTCTTCCCAGTCTTTGTAGATGATACTGATGTTGGGCTTGGTGATACCTGAAACGTGGCCTGCAACTTGTCAAACAATCATCTTCCTTTTCTTTCTTTGAAGAAACCACTGTAGGAGACCAGCTTTGTGAAATAACCAAGAGAGCAGACAGGGACCAGGAGACACATGGGAGTGTTAAAATGTGCCACTGTGACCCTGGGGCAAAGTTGTGTGAGGAAAGACAGAAATGACAAGGAGAGTGCCTGAAAGATGTGATAACATGGGTCTTCCCACCAGATTAAGGAAACTTTTTTTTTTCTTTTTCTTTTTCTGCAGGTAAACAGAACAAAATGTAGCTGGAGACATTAGAGCAAAGGATCCCCCATCCTTCCATGAGACTTGCCTTCCCCCCACCCCCCCCCTCCTCCACAGTATGTGCTGTCTTCTTCCCCAACTTCCCCAGGGCCAAGAGAAGCCTTGCAACTCCGAGGACTGTCATTTAGTTTCATTTCTTTGTTCCTTTGCTTCATCTTGCGCCCCTGCCGAAGACAAAGAGAAACCATTTGTTAGATTAGAGATAAATCGTCTCCATCTTCATAGGCTTAGCAAGGAATATCTATTTAATATAGCTTTTACACGTCTCTGACCCCTCAAACAGGCCTAGAAATATCTTATTTGACTATCAAAGAGCTCTGGATATCTGAGCTGTAATTGCTGGCACATGGTACCTTTAAAGAGCATATTAATCACTGCTAATAAATGTCGCCACATTGACAACCTGCTTTAGCTGATGGGACGATTAATGCAACTCTTCAAAGTAATCTTTGAAAAACCTAACCTTGAATTGATATAGCTTCCCTTTTCTGGCCCATTCACACACATCTGAATGATATAATACTGATTTGCAAAAGTCATTGAAGTTTATGCCACCATTTGAGGTTTTTCTTAGTATCTGCTGTGTTCCTTACCTATGAGAGAGCTCTGGGAAGATCCTCTGCCCTAGCAGAATCAGTATTTTTTTAGATTTTTAAAAGTGAAATATAATTCACCTATAGGAAAATGCACAGATCTAAAATTATACCATTTCTTCTGTTTTGAAAAGAAGTTGCAGTTTAATACCCACCACTGTCAAGATATAAAAGTGTAACTGTCACTAGAAATTTCCCTTTCCTAAGACCACTCCTGCTGGAACCAACAATTTTCTGATTTCTATTATGGTAGGATTAATTTTTGTTCATCTAGAACTTCCTAAAAATGGAAACATACACGTGTCTGTTCTGTGCCTGGCTCTTTGACTAAGCAGAAAGCTTGAAAATTATTCATTTTGCTGCTTGCTGGCCACAATCTCTTTTTTTTTGTAATGCTAACTAACATTACATTGTATAGATGTATCACATTTTTTTTAAAAAGAATCTATTCTGCTATGAAACATTTGGGTTGTGTCCAGTTTGGGGGCTTTGGTGAATAATACAAGTATTCTTTTGAAAAAAAAACATTTAATGACTCATTAATTGTAATTTTAATGGGATTCATGCATACAATGCACACTGACCATATGCAACTACTTTCTTCTACCTCCTCATGCTCCTTCCTAGCAATATTTAATTTCAGGTTGACATTTAGTTTCTACATATAAGACCACATGCAGTATTTGTCTTTGGCTTATTTCACTTTAGTTTATTCATTTTGCTGCAGATGACAATTTCATTCTTCTTTGTGGCTGAATAATACTCTGTTGTATATATATACCAAATTTTACTTATTCATTGATTTGTTGATGGGCAACTAGAGGGATCCCATATCTTTGCTATTCTAAATAGTGCTGCAGTAAATGTGGGCATGTAGGAATCTCTTTGGTATGCTGATTTTATATCCTATGGATATGAGTGGGATTAGTGGACACATGATAGCTCTATTTTTAATTTTGTTTTTTATTAAGGAACTGATAATGTACACCACAGTAGCTCTACTAATTTATATTCCCACTAACAGAGTATAAAAGTTTCCTTTTTCTCCACATGCTTGCCAGCATCTGTTGTTGTTTTGATAATAGGCATTCTAACTGGGTTTATAGTCTTGATAACTAATGATATTGAGCATTTTCTCATATCTTGCCCGTTCATATTTCTTCTAATAAGAAGTGTCTATTTAGACCATTTGCCAATTTTTAAAATTAGATTACTAGTTTTTTATTACTGTTTCTTTTTATTCTGAATATTACTAACTTTCTGTCACATAAATAATGAGTCGGCAAATAATTTTTCCCTCTTTGTAGGTTGTCTCTTTGTTCTGTTGATTGTTTCCGTTGCTTTGAAGCTTTTCAGTTTGGTGTGATCCCATTTGCCAAATTTTGCTTCCTGTACTTTTGAGGTCCTATCCAGGAAATCATTTCCTGCACCAATGTCTTGAGGTGTCTCTGTTTTCTTCTAGTAGTTTCAGAGTTTCAGGTCTGAAACTATTTATGTTTTTGATCCACATTGAGTTGATTTTTGTACGGGGTGAAAGGTAGGGGTCAAATTTCAGTCGTCTGCATGAGGATATCCAATTGCCCCAGCATCATTTGTTGAAGAGCCTGTCCTTTTTCTTTTGTATGTTTTGGGCACCTTTTGCCAAGAGTCAGTTATCTGTGGATGTGTGCATTTATTTCTGGGATCTGTTCCATTCCATTGGTCTGGATGTCTGTTTTCACTCTAGTATTGTGGAGTTTTGATGACTGTAGTTCTGTAGTATGTCTTAAAATCCAGTACTGTGATTCATCCAGCTTGGTCCTTTTCAATTTAGATTGTTTTGGCTACTCAGGGACTTCTGGTGCTTACATATGAATTTTTGATTTTTCTGTATATTTCTGTGAAGCAGTTATTGTTATTTTGATGGGGATTGCATTGAGTTAGTAAATTAGTAGATTGCTGCAGGTCACATGAACATGAAGGTATTTCCATTTTCTTGTGTCTTCAATATCTTTCACCAGTGTTTTGTAGTTTTCATGGTAGAAGTCTTTCACTTCCTTGGTTAATTCCTAGGCATTTTATTTTATTGTGTTATGATTGCTTTCATGATTTCTTTTTCAGGAAATTTGTTATGGCTATATAAAAAGTTATTGATTTATATTGATTTTATATCTTGCTACTTTATTGAATTATCAATTCTAATAATCTTTGGGAGGAGTCTAGTATTTCCCCTATATAGAATCATATCTCCAAATATGGATAACTTGACTTCCTCCTTTCCTAGTTGGCTTTTATTTCTTTCTCTTGCCTTACTGCTCTGGTTAAAACTCCTAATATTTTATTGGATAAGGGCAGTGAGAGTGCACACCCTGGTCTTGTTACTGATCTTAGAGGAAATGTTTTCCACTTTTCCTAGTTTAGCATGATGTTGACTATGGATTTGCAGTATATGGGCTTTATTTCATTGAGGTACAAAACTTATAAACCTAAGTTGTCTAGGACTTTCATCATGAAGGGACATGAATTATATCAAAACACTTTATCATCATCTATTGATATAATTATATTTATCCTCATTCTCTTGATATAATGAATTACATATTTTGGGGGGCAGTATCAGGTTGAACTTAGGGGCACTTGATCGCTCAGCCACATTCCCAGCCCTATTTTGTTTTTTATTTAGAGACAGGGTCTCACTGAGTTGCTTGGCACCTCGCTTTCGCTGAGGCTGGCTTTGAACTCATGATCTTCTTGCCTCAGCCTTGTGAGCCACTGGTATTTTAGGCATGTGCCAACTTTCCTGGCTATGAATTACATTTTTTGAGTAACTGAACCACCCTTGCATTCCTGGGATAAAACCAACTTGATCATGGTTAATGATCTTTTTGACATGCTGTTGAATTTAATTTGCTAGTATTTTGTTTAGGATTTTTAATGTGTTCATCAGGGATATTGATCTATATCTTTCTCTTGTTTATGTTCTTGTCTGGTTTGGGTAGCAGGGTAATGATGGCTTCATAGAATAAGTTAGAAGGGTCCTCTCAATTTCATGGAACAGTTTGGGAAGCACTGGTGTTAGCTTTTTTTGAAAAATTCAGGTAAAATTCAGAAGTGAAATTGAGCTTTTCTTTGTTGGAAGACTATTACTGATTCTTCTCATTGCTTGCTATTGTACAGGTTTTTTATATCATCTTGAATCAATTTTGGTAGGTTATTTGTGTCCAGAAATATATACCTTTCTTTTAGTATTTCCAATTTATGAGCATACAATTTTTTTAATACCTTTCTTTTATTTATTTTTATGTGGTGCTGAGGATCCAACCCAGTGCCTCACACGTGCCAGGCGAGCACTCTACTGCTGAGCCACAACCCACAACTGAGCATATAGTTTTTCAAAATAATCCCTAATAATCTTTTTTATTTCTATGGTATTAGAGGTAATATCTCTTTTTCATCTCTATTTATTAGGGTCTTCTTTTTTCTCAGTTAATCTTGCCATTATGCTCATTGATTCATCTTTTTAGAAAACCAACTCTATTTCATCTATTGTGTTTTTCTTTTAAATCTCTATTTCTAGCCAGGCACAGTGGCACATGCCTGTACTCCCAGTGGCTGGGGAGGCTAAGGCAGAAGGATCATGAGTTCAAAGCCAGCCTCAACAACTTAGTGAGACACTAAACAACTCAGCAAGACTCCATATCTAAATAAAATACTAAAACAAAAAAGGTGGGGGGCTGCTGGGAATGTGTCTCAGTGGTTATGTGCCCCTGGGTTTAATCTCTGGTGCTAAAAAATAAAATAAAAAATAAATCTTTATTTCTACTTTGGTCTTTTTTTCTTTCTACTAATATTGGGTTTGTTTGCTCTTGCTTTTCAAAGTCTTTGAGATGCATTATGAGGTTGTTCCTTTGAACTGTTTTTTGTTGTTGTTTTTTAAAGGAAGGCACTCCTCTTTATAAACTTTCCTCTTAGTACTGTTTTTGTTGCATTCCACAGGTTTTAGCACAGTGTGTTTCCTTTGATTTCATAACATTTTTAAAGTTCCCTTCTCTCTTTCTCAATAACCCGCTGTTTATTCGAAAGTGTGTTGTTCAGTCCCAACATATTTGTAGAATTTCGGGAATTTCTCTTGTTGGCTTCTAGTTTTATTCCACTGGGGTTAGAAAAGATTCATGATATGATTTTAATTCTTATGAATTTTGTGGTCTAATAAATGTTCTATTCTACAGAAAGTTCCATACACTATTGAGAAGACTGTGCATTCTCCAGCTATTTGATAGAAGTTTCTCTAAGTATCTGGTAAGTCCCTCTGGTCTATGGTATAGCTTAACTCTGATATTTCTTTGTTGATATTTTTCTCTAGATGATCTTTACATTTAGGAGCATGAGTATTGAAATCCCCCCATTACTGTATTGCACCCTATCTCTAAAACCATCAGCATTTGTTTTAAAAAAATTGATGTGACATTAGGTGCATTCATATTAACACTTGTGTCTTCTTTTTTTGTTGTTGTTTTGTTTTGTTTTTCTTTTTTTTTGGACATGGAGGGGTACTAGGAATTGAACTCGGGGACACTCAATCACTGAACCAC